GGCCTGGGCCGCTGCTGGGGGCAGAATGAACATGAGCTGTCTTGACGTGCGGTGTGCAGGTCACCCCAGCACTCGGTCGTTCCAGAGACACTGGTCCTGTCCCTCTGCATTGGCCTGGCCCCTCCCTGCTACCACAGCCACCAGGGCTCTGACCCATTCACTTCCTGTCAGCAGCAGCTGCACTGTGCCCCCTTGGTGCCCACCTCCAGGTTTGTGCTATGTCACGAGATTTGTACCCATGCTGTTGTCATTCTCTTATTTGCTGGGCTTCAAGGAATTGGTGGCCCCAAAACCCCAAGGGTCCCACGGCCCTTGTAGGGTATAGGCAAGGTCTAGCAGAGCCCTGGGCAGCTTCCATTGCCACTGGCTCCAGAGAAGCCACAGAACAGAGGCTGATCTTGGATGCTGAGTGGTAGAGACGGGTCTCTTTCTCTCCTGGTTGGATTAGCAGCTCTTGGGCCACCTTAAAGGACCCGCTTTCTCAACATTAAGGCCGATGTCAGCCATAGAGTCTATCTGAGGTGGCGAGGTCCAGGCCTGGCCTGGGGATACTGGGCTAGGGAAGGGGCACGAGAGACATCAGCATGTCCTGAGCCTGACCTGGAGTCAAGGGACAAAGATTTGTCTGGTTGACTACTGCTAACGTGGGTTTGTTCCTTCTCTGTGCTCCTATATTTCCTAGAGCCTGGTGGCAGTGTCCTCCCTGCTACTTCCTGTGAACTGGGCATACCTCGCCCAGAGAATAGAGCATCAGCCTTTCCCAAGCACTGTGTTGTAATCTCTGTTTTCAGCATAGCAGTCATTGCATATCTGGCATGTATCAGATTTTAGTCAGGGTGACTGACGTTGGCTGCTGTAACAATCACTCCTAAGGTCTGCGTGGCTTCACGTGAGGGTTTAGGTCTCTCTCAAGTTGAACCCAGTTGGTTGTTTGTGCGGAGGGGTAGGGAGCAGAGACTCTGCTCCACCTGGTCTCGAAACCTGGTTTCCATCCACCGAGGGTCTCCACCTTACCCTGGGGCCTTCGGACTGCCCACCCAGTCCCCTGCACCCAGCTAGGAGTCTAGGGAGGAGACAGCTGGAGGAGGCCGGGGGGGCTTTCTCATCTCCACCTCAGCTGGTGTGCACCCTCTGCACTCAGCCCCACAGCTCCCCAAACCTGACGGGCTGGAGTCATCTGGGTGTTGGGTGCCCGGGAAAGGTCAGACCCCTGTAAACAAGTGCAGCCGCACACATTGGCCATCTGCTCACCAGTAGGTGTATGTCAGAATACCTGGTCTCTGTGCCCAGGAGGACATGGGAGCTGCAGGGAGCGAGGTCTTGGTTTGTAAGACACAGGAGCGAGCTGGCCATCCGCGGTCAAACAACGAAGTGCGGTGCTGGGGGAACAGGCTGGTGCCTGCTTCAGGGTACCTCTGCGGAGAGCCGTGTGCAGGGCCAGTTTCCTGCGGAGGCGACACCGGCTCCCGGGTTCTTACCCACCTGTGGATTTTGGTGCCAGTTGAGTGGTGCGATGCCACATCGCTCTGTGACCCTGTCTGTCCTGGGCTTGGGGGTTTGCGGAGAAAGCCCTTCCTCTTTCTGACGCCTGAAGTAGCTGCCTCCCCACACTGCTGATTCACTCCCACTCACTCAGCCTTTCTCCGACTTTCTCTCATGCTGCCTGAGTTGGAGAGCCGAGACCCAGGGCAGGGTCACTGTTGGCCTTTTGGCTCCTGCTGTGATAGTGACAGGGTAGGTGGGCTGCAGAGGGCAGGGATAGTGGCCAACTGTGCTTAGGCTTTCTACATGGGCTGTCTCCCAGAGCCCACCCTGTGCCTCCATGGGGTCCATCCTCCTCGCCAGCTCAGCATGGTGGTCAAGAGCTTCCCAAGCTGGCTGCCAAGGCCCCTCCCCGGCCTGAGGGTCCTTGTTCTCCACGGAGGGGAGGGCAGGATGGTTCTGAAGAAGCTCTGACAGTCATCGCCCACCTCACTCATCCCACAGGCCTGTGTGACTCAGAACATCTCTCTCTCTGCCTTGCTTATGCCCCCTCAGCCACCATCTCCCTGCCCCCATACAGATCGAAAGACATTTTGGGGTTTGCTGTTGATTGGATGGCCTGTGTCCTCTTGTCAGAAGGGGCCACGTGTCTCACAGAGCGAGGAGACAGGCATTTAGTCTCACGAGTTGTGCTTCCTTCCTTCTGCTTGCTCTCCCGCGCAGTCCCCAAGCAGCCCCACCACCCCCGTCCTCTGTCATTGAAGTGTGGTTTTCCTTCTAATGAGCTCAAGTCCTCACTCAGGGCTGTGAGGAGACACGGGGACCATGGGTATAGGAGTCCTTGGCAAGTTACCATAAATTAATGTGACTAATGAGGGAATCGAGTTCAGCTCTGTAAATGAGCTTCCTGTTCTGGGTCTCGATGACTTAAATTGCAAATTCTAATTAAATGCCCCCAAGTAACACAAAGTGGCTTCTAAAGTTTTTTGACCTAAAAGCTTCTCTGATCTATAAACTCTATCAAGTATGAAGTTAGTCTGTTCCCCATTAAGCATTTCTATCCCTAGAATCTCATGCCTATAATCTCACTAACCACCCTCTTGGGGGAAGGGACAGGCTGGTAGAGTAGGCAGGGACCCCGCAAGTGGAGGAGGAACAGGGGATGGGAGGGTCCCTTGGGTGGTTGAGATGTCGGGGTACAGATTGGCCCTGTTAAGTGGCCCGTCTCTACTGTCTCAAGTGAAGATGGAGGGGTGACTGTAGCCAGGAAAAGGTTCAAGAGGGAGGAGCGCCTTCCCCAGGCTGATTCACGCCCAAGGTGCCGCCTCTGCCTCTGGCCAACACAGATGCAACTTTCAGTGATGCAAGAGGGTGACAGTAAGCCAAGAAAGGAAGCAGTTACCCACGGTCACGCCCCCAGACACGGCCAATATCTTGATGTGGCCTCTTGCTGGCATGTTCCCGCTGTGTCACATCTTTTTAAATGGCTATAACCAGAGCCCAGGTGGAATATTTAATTAAAAACACATGATGCAGAACTGACATAAACATGTTTTCATGCTGTGTTGTCTATTACAGTCGCTGAAAGAATTAAAGAATCTCTTTATTGAGGGGTGAAAATCAATGGTGGGGTTCACACGGAGAACTCACTCATGGAGCCAGCACCCAGGTCGGAGGCAGAGCGCACCCAGGGTCCCCAGACCCCCTCGCACCCTGGTCAGTGCTGGCCCCGCAGAGGCACTGCCTCCTGACCCTGACACCACAGGCTCATTTCGCCGTGCCCAGACACACAGAAGCGAAAGACCTGGGTACCCTGCTTTCCGGCTCCTCCCCGGTGTTGCTCCTGGGCATCTTGGGTGTTTTTATTGTCCATTGTGCTGTTGATGGATGTTTATCACTTATGAATGTTCCTGCTGGAAACATTCTTCACACCTTTGGAGGGGCGTGAATCTGCTGTTATGTTAGGAGTTCCGGGTCACAGGGCAGATGTGAGTCAGCTTGAGAGGACGTTACACTTCCCAGGGTGGCTGTGCCATTGACTCCTCCAGCAGTGTGTCTGGTTCCTTTAATCCACGTCCTTGCCAGCACTAGGTATCATCTGTCTTTTCATTTTAGCTGTTCGGCTGGGTGTGCAGAAGCATCTCATGGATCCAGTTTGCATTTTCCTGATGACTAATGAGGTTGAAGGACTTTCCATATGTTTATTCGCTCTATTACAATCTCATCAACAGCCACATAACAGTGTGTTCCAGATGCACTCACTTGCCCCCGGGCACTTAGGCCGGTTCCAGTGTTTGCCGTTGTAAGTGGTGCTACAATAAGCATTCCTGGATTAGTGACGAGAATTTGTTGTGGACAAATTTTGATAAGTGATTTTGGGTTGCTTCCTGAAATGCTCGGACCACTGAAGTGTCATCGGCATATAGGAGGGCCCTGCAGAGTCCCCCCAGGTCTCCAGGAGAGCATGTTCTCAGTAGAACAGACAGACAGCTTTTGGAGTTCTAACTTAGTTAATTTAGATGTGTTTAGCATTGCCTTCATTATTTTAAATGAGTTTGGTCGCTTTTCAAAATGTTCACCATGTGCATTTCTATTTTATGAATTCATAAGTTTTGCCACTTGGATTTTTAGGGAATTTTTTTGGTTGATGTGTGTACATCACTGTAAAATACAGATTTTTGTACTGTAAGCACTTTTCCCCAGTCTTCACCAATTTCATTGCACATTTTTTACTTGTGTGCCTTTTGATGTTGGCAAGCTGGTGAATCTTCCCCTGGGTGACTATTTCTGTGACTCCCACCCTCTCTGCTGAGGTGCCCAGGCTAGAGGTCCCTGGATGCTGCAGGGGGAGGGTGGGAGCACACTGTACAAGGGACTGAGTTTGCCCAAGGGCCGAGCACACTGCCCTTCCCATCAGCTTCATCCCAGGCCCAGCAGTTTCAGATGGCACTGGGCCCGAGGTCCATCCCCATGGCCTCCAGCAGTGCTGGAACCCAGTAAGGGCCATGTTCTGCTCCTCAGGGAGGTGCCCCCGGGCCAGGTTGCAACACCCATGTGGGAGCCCAGCTGAGTTTGGAGAGCCTCCACCGCTGTGGCATGTTTGGTACTCATTGCAGACCTGTGATGTGGGAACAGTTAGCGTCATCTCAGACACCAGAAAGCAGAGCCTCAGAGGGTCCAAGCCTGAGGTTTATGAGCAGGGAGACTGGGACTCATGTCCTTAACCCCACATTGTCCCTCAGCCACACCCAGCCACCCAGCTGGCTCTTCAGGGCTGGACCGAATCCCCTGGACCAGCCCTGGATGGCGATAGAATGTCTACTTTCTAGTTCTCATTCTTTTGGGCTCCGAGCAAAACCCTTGTTTTTGAGCCAAAACTTTAGATTGGTGTGTGGAGCTCAAAGGAGCACGTAGCAGCCCTTGGCTCCCCATGAAATCACAGCGTATATGTAATAATACGTGTTTCTGAGCGCGTCGTGCATGCTGAGCAGCATGTTAAGTTTGTGTTCTGCTTTTAGATAATGGACTTGGATGTGCTCCTATGAAGAAACGTCATGTGTCTCTGCTAGTCCAAGAACAAACATGTCCAGTAAGTCGCTGGATGAATTCCAGAGGGGAGCACAGGCCTTTCGGGTGCCCAGGTGTTGGCACACGCTGAGAAGACGGGTATCTGGGTGTATGGAGGCCTCTGAGAGGCTTTTTAAAACCAGCCTTATTGCTCAGTCTAATTACCTTAACTTTTAAAGGGTGGCGGGTCCTTCTAGATACAGCAGGCATTATAACTCGAAAACAAT